ATATCGGATTATATGCCAAATGTTCCATAAGCATGAAGATTCCGGGATTCACATGTCTTAATTTTGTCTCCAGTTAGTTACTATGTGGAAATTCAATTCCATTCAATTCATTTCCACATCTTCAATAATTGAGAATACTAGCACTTGAGTAGAAAGCCCTTGTTAATCAAATGATTAGATTTGTGGAATTATGCTTAAGGAGTGTGGCATTAATTATTGTAGCAAGAAAATGTAGGTGGATGAAACACACTTTGACACATCCCTGAACTAGTGGATATGTCATGTGGGAAGACAATAACAACTTAATTAACCATAGACAATTACTTACGGCAACGGTTTGGAAGTTGTGCCAGCATAAACAGTATTGATTATTGTGTTTTATGTGAAGAAATTTTATAGGTAAAGGACACAAGAATCCAACAAAATTGAAAAGGCTAGAACACTTGGCCCACTTTCTGTTAATGTTGGAGATCTTTATCTTTAGATTGTCGACCTCTTCCTTTTCTAACCAATTATTCATAACAATAATATACTAATATATAATATAATGAAGTTTTGTTTACCTTAGGAAGGTGCCAAAAATAATTTCTTTATAAGAAAAGAGAAAACTGTTGCATTGTTATTTATTTATTTGGAATTAGTTTTGATGCAAAATAATAAAATTTAAGATGCCAAAAATATTCCTTAAAAAATAACAAAGTAAAAAATATATATATGATGAAGTTATAAGATCACGATCTTTTGATTCTCATAGAAAGTGGTGAGTTCACTATCATTTTCATTTGTGGTCTGCTCACTTTCATTTTTTAATTATGACATGACAATAACAAAAAGATGAATACTTCTTCCGTCCACTTTCTTGTTTCTTTTCATGACTTTATTAAATCCTAATCTAATTTTGTATTGACATACAAAAGTTGAGATGAATGAGACACATCTTCTGTAAAGTCAAATATAATTATCAATCTCAATGAGATTGTAGGCAAGAGAGAATGAGTGAAACCATTTTTTTAAAAAGAAACAAATTGATGTGTAATCCCCCTCCCAACCTCTTTGAAAGATACTTTTATATTATTATAAAATTAATTCATTTTATTTTCAAATTTTAGTCATACATTATTATTATATAAAACTAGTCTTCAAACATATAGCTAAATTTTATCTTAATCGGTAATAGATGAAAGTTATTCCTTCTATTTTAAATTATAAATCACTTTTTTAAAATAAAATTATTTTAAATTATAAGTTACTTCACATTTTAATATTTTAATGAGAGGATATTAGAGTTTGACATAACACAACCTTACAAAAGGTGTTGGTAAGGTGAGGGGTGTCACTCTATATAAAATATTTCAATGCTCTGTCTCCAACTAATGTGGGACTTTAGGATCTATACCATATTAGAGTTTGGCCTAACACAACCTTACAAAACCAGTTGGTAAGGTGAGGGGTGTCACTCTATATAAACTATTTCAATGTTCTATCTCCAACTAATGTAAGACTTTAGGATCTTCCTGATAGAGGAACCTTCGTAGAGGGGGTGAATAGCAGAAGATGGCGGCATAGTTAGATATATGAGCAAGTTCCACAATAAAAAGAGATCTCAACAAGGTCCAAAAATAATTAGTCCATGATTGCATTATGGGCCATAGCTGAAAAACAGCAAGATACGCATCACATTCACAAAAAAGGAATAGATATTGGAGTTTAAACGGATAGCCATAATTTAAGTTGCGTAAGATGGTTGAACTTTCCAACGTAACGTTGCATAAGAACTTGCACTGTCCCTTTACAATTTCTATCGGTCACTTATCCAGAACACTTTCACTATCCTTTTAGGATTTCTATCGGTCACTTATCCAGAACACTTTCGGTTTGTGGATCGGATAAAGAATTGGAGGAGTTTTGGGATATTAATTACATGTAACTTGACAAGTTTGGTGCCACAATAAGAATTACGCAGTAAATGATCAACTCTGCATGAAAAATCTAGACAATAAACGTTGGGTAGTGTTTAACCTTATGTAAATCAAAAGGCCCGTTACATTACCCTTACCAGTGACTTTTCATTTTGCCCACACTAAAATGAAGGCCCATGGGGAGTTAGGTAGCTAGAGGTCCCATTTTCAAGACCATTTAACGTGTCACCCCATTTGTATTTGGTATTCTCATTCAAAGCGTTCTTTATTATATTTTTATAAAAAAAAAATCAGATTTTTTTTAAATTTACATGTTTTTATCAAAAACCTTTAAAAAATATTATCTTTTATTTGAAATTTTGAAATTTTTGATAAAAAAGTTTTTAAAAATTTAAAAAATATATGAAAAATACTAAAAGTTTTCTTTTTTTTACTTAAAATTTTGAAATTTTAAAAACAAAATATGAATTTTTTTTACACTACCGAAAATTTTAGTATAGTACTGAAATTTTCGAAATTTTCGGAAATAAAAAAATTTGAAAATTTTGATATTTGTCGTCGTTTTTTTCAAAAAAAATTATTTTTTATTGAAAATTTCAAATTTTCCAATAAAAAAATAAAATTTTCAGTAATATGACAAATTTTCATTTGTTTCAAATTTTTTTCAATGACAATTTTGAAAATATGAAAGATTTTGGGATGCCGTGTATAAAATGGGGGTGGCAGTTTAAATTCTCCAACTTCAAACCGTGGTGTAAAAAAAACTAACCTAACAACTTATACTATAACTTGTCTGTCAGATTATCAAACTAAAATAAAAGAGAATTTCTTGTTGCATCCTAGATGTTTCTAACACACCATGTGAATTTTCACATATGTCCCCTGATTTTTGAGATACATCCTCGAAGGCACCTATTTCTGAATAAACGTTGATATATTCTGAAGATATATCTCCAGAACAATTTTAAACATTCAAAACAAGTCACTCAGAAGCCATTTACATTTGAATTGTTTCGGAGATGCATCTCCGATAATATTTTGGAGATACATCTCCGAAGTGTATCAGAAAGGTGATTTTTACTATAAGTAGTGTATTTATTTTTGGATGAAGTATGAAGCAAGATCTCAAATAAAAAAAATAGACGTACACAATAATAAAAGACTAATATTGCATGTGTCGAAATGATATAGCAATATATGTAAAAAAATGTCATACAATCGAGATCCAAAATGTAATAAAAACTGTAAAAATAAAGTATAAAGTATATTACTACAACAAAATAATAACATATTACTATTGTGTGTGTCTGAAAACATCTCCTCTACATTCTTTGCCTCCTCTGTCTGCTCTACCTCCTCGGTCATCAATCCCAGTAAGAGTTAATAGGATCATCAGCGGGAGGTGGCATTAGATTCGTAGGAGGTGGCATTTGTGAATCCTGACGCCTGCGGGGGATGGGGGGAGTAACACATCAAATGGTGAATTTCGTCTCCTACGGAAAGAAGAAGTAGAAGAAGGTGGAGTGGCCAGAGGTATTGCGCGGTCCCTAGAACTAAACGGCTCTGCGTGAGAGGTACCTGTTGGCTTTGCTCCCCCCGAACAAAGTGCTGAAAAACCATGTCATATCTCAGTCTATCGGCTATGTCAGTCATTATACATGTAAGGTAAAGTAAGGCATGTCATTAGTGCACGCAAACAAAACACACAAACAAAATTTAAATAAATAAAAAAACATACTACAGAAAATTTCAAAGATGTATCTCCGAAAATACCATAAAACAATAATGAACAATTCCGAAAATGCATCTTCGAAAACACCATAAAATTATTAACATTTAAGAGTTCTGAATCTGATATTTTCTAAAGTATATGAAACGCTGAACAATTTCAAAAATGCATCTCTAGAATGTTCTGCAACACAGAGGTCGCATCAATGCTGAATGTACCTCTTACATGTTAAATAAACATAACATGATATGATCGTCATTTTGAACCAACAAACAAGTCATACACTAAGTCTAAACTTTATTATATGTGATTCCTACACATTTCTAACCCTAATCATTGATTTCTACTCATTTACAATAAAACTCAAAATATTTTTCGAAAACTCAAAAAATTAACTTGAAATTTATGGTTTTGATGATATTAAATGATGCTATATATAATACTTGATGTTCCTTTAAACCTTGTTTGATGAAGTTGAAATGTATTAAAAAGAAGGAGTTTTTTTTTTTGAACAAATTGAAAAGGAGAAGGGTTGAATTTGAGTAAAAGTGTGAAATCAAAAAGGAGAAGAGTGGCACGATGTTGTTCCAAAATATTTCAGAGATATATCTCCAAAATATTTCAACATTCACTGAATTTTAAATACGTCCAAAAATATATCTCCGAAATTAAAAAACATTTGTTGAATTTCACATAATGCGATAAAAATACATAGTAATACAAGAAATTCCCAAATAAAATAAATGAAGGCCCAAATATATTTTCTTATTCAGACTAGTACCTTCCAGTCTACTTGCATTAAGAAAATCACAAGGAATGATCGTTCAAGGAAGCATATTAAAACCAAAAAAAGTGTAAGCCATTGATTAGCAAAACTATATGGTTAACATGTCAAATGAGATGCTGCAAAACAAAAAATTATGGCAACATGCTCAGAATCGTAAGTACCGCCTAGTTATGCTGCAAGATTAACTTGAGAATAATCTAAAACTGTAAAATTTGTTTAGTACATTTTTTGGGAAAAAAGAAAAAAATACATGAAATTTAAATCATTGAATCAAGATATCATTTTTAAACTCAGCACGCAATCAAATGAAATTGTTGAGTTGAGACCTGAGTTTCCACAAATATTACAAAATAAGAAACCAAAGGCAAGTAGGGCAAGAGCTAATCAAATTGAATTTTACAACAAAAAGGGGCAGAATCTCCCAAAAGCAAGTTCCACCACAAATAAAAGTTTAACCGTTCAGATAAAGCCCCCAATCAAAGACGAACAGCATAAATCTCCACAAGCATCAGCAGCTCAATGTGCGCAAAGACAAACAACATAAATCTCCACAAGCATCAGCAGCTCAGTGTGCGCGAGCTCTACTACTTTCTGCACTTCTAATTGGATTGAAGTATGGATGGGCCTGCATAGCATTTAAGATTTGTTGACCAAACATTCTTTAAATGAGTAAATATTAGTGACAAGGGCATAGGCAGTATACCAAATAAATTTGTTTGAAAATCTAAAGGCTTCTTTGGTGTCCTAATAAAAAATATGAAGTACTCAAAAAAATAAAACTTCAAAATTCCTACAACATTGATTACTTAACCAACAACCAAGCCTTTTGGGTGGCTACATCAACAATCAAATTCCGCCATAATGTTCTATCCAATTCATTAGTATCAAGATCTTTATAGTTTTTCTAGGTCTTCGAAAACAGAAAAAAAAGAGCAAACCAGAAAGAAAACACAAGTCCTAACTACAATTATATAGAGAGCCAGGCATAGATAATTAGAAACAACAATCATGCTGGCCAAAAAATTGATTCACAGCACAATGATCCAACTAACGGGGTTCCCTAACAAAACAAAAAAAATTGAAAGGGGGCAAAATTCAAATAAAGCAGGATTAACTTAAAAATGATGAAGCAACAACTAAAGCCAAATCCCATATCAGAAGCCCGAAGGCCCCAAATGAAAGACCAGGCTCAAATCAAGCCTAAGTGCAGTAATAAAATACTAAAAGATTGGAATGTTACCATGGCTTCCTTTGCAGTGGGCCGTTCTTGGTGATCGTATCGTAGTAACTTGTCGACAAAGTCAACAGCCTTCATAAAAGTAGTGAAAGTTTAGACAATGTAGGTAAATTAAAAGAATAATTAGCTAATTATAATGTATACTACCTCAGGAACAGTCAAGTGTTGATTTTCAACATTAATAAACCTTTGCCATGGCTTTCGGCTGTGCCTGTTACAACAATATTGGAAGTATCCTGTTAGTTGAAATATTAATAGTTTTACGAGTATTTAACAAACAAAAAAACATACATATTATATACCAAATTATGAAAGCACAGAAACAAACCTCCCAATAAGTGCTGCAAGATGTGGGTCCAACTCAATGCGATACTTATTCAAATATGCATTTAACTCATCTGTCCCAAGTACCTATTGCATTACAGAAAAGAATAGTCAATTTAAAATTTTCCATCTCTATCACTTCAATGTTTAAATAGCTTTTGAGCCATACTATAGCTATAACTAAACAATCATCTTTTGTAGTTCTGAATCAACTCATAATTTGCCTTCAGAGGCACATAAAAATATCAAAGAAACAAGGAAACTGTGTGTTCTGCCATGATGGATACCAAAAACAAAGCAACAAGTTGGAAACAGAAAAAAGAAAGGCAACATCTCCTTCCTAAAATCCAACATACAAATACGGCGTGCTTTTTAGAAGCCAACAGAAATATTTCATTTCTTCACAAAAGAGCATTGTTTTCACAAGACCACCACCAAGTGGGCTAAATCAAGTATGCATATATCGATGAAGAGGAGAAGCCAACAATATGGAAAAGAACATGGCACAAAAGAGCAATATAGACTTGCTACATCATAAAATTCCCAGTCAGAATATACGGTCAAGGATATGAATAACCAAAGTGTCAAACCATGAAGTACATGCAATATTGAATTATCTTCAAAACACACATATTCAAACAATCTGGCACAGATGCCACCTCTTCACAGGTTACACTTACCCTAGCTATCTTGACCAGTTGATCATAGTTATCGTGTCCATAAAAGAACGGCTCCTTCCGGAATATCTACAACAGCACACACCACAGTTAAGTAAAGCAAGAGACTTCAAATTGTACATTCTCTTTAAGTTTACATTGAAAGAACCAAACCTAAATACTAAACAATAGAAAAATTGTATTATAAGGGAAGTGTGTTGCTTACAATCCCAGCAAACATACAACCAAGACTCCACAAATCTAGAGAGTAATCATAGTCTTGAAGATCAACAAGAAGCTCCGGACCTTTGAAATATCTACAAGCAAAGAACATATAAAGGAGATAAAAAAGTGTGTGTAACTCAATGTGAGCAAAGAACATATAAAGGAGATCATAGAGTGTGTGTAACTCAATGTGAGCAAAGAACATATAAGGCTTTGTTGTTGTTGTAACAAAGAAATCTATTAATATTCAAACTCTTTTTGAAGGAAAAAATGTTAGTAGTTCGTGGGAGTTGAATCAGTGACCTCCTTATCACTCCAACCCTTATGACTTCCCTCCAAAACCTTAATCTTCAAACTTCAATTTTAAATCGATGAGTTTAATTCAAGACTTCAAATATATGTATAACCAAGCCTAATGGGGGATGGAAGGAGTAGTAGCAATGATTAAAGGAAATCAAAAGCAAATGAAATAAGATGTATGAAACTGGTGATTATTTAATGACAATTAACAAATCGTCTGAAAAAGAAAATGAGAGCACTTATTAAGGGGTATGAAACATGATTACACAGGTTCAAGTTCTGCAATGGGGTCCCTGGTGGGCCTTACCAAATGTCTACCTGCTTTGTGAGTCCCATGAAAAAGAAAGAAGACACATAAGAGCAAGTGTACCTTGAAGCCACACGAACATTATATTCTTTCCCAGGATGATAAAATTCTGCAAGCCCCCAATCAATAAGGCGAAGCTTACGCTGAGCATGGTCAATCATTACATTGTGGGGCTTTACATCCCGATGCATGATTCCTTGCGAATGGCAGTAATCCAAGGCCTGGTAGAAGTTTAAAATAAATTAGCACTTCCAAGTTGATAGCCAAAAAAATTGGAAACAGCTACATGTGTAAAATAAAATAATGAAATTATGGTTACAACTTGAGCAAAGCAGTACAGCAGTGACACTATAGTACAAAAGGAATAAATGGCTAAACTAAAGAAGCACGCAAGCCATCCTGATTAGAAGGCATTATTAAACTACAAGCAATTTCAAAAGAAAAAGGAACTGGTTCTCAAAATGCCATTGCATAATCAAGGCAAAGTGATATGTCTTCCATTCACACGAGCACCCACCAGCAAAGCAGAATTAAGTTCTATAACAACCCAATCCTGAGACACCAGGTCCAAAATACCAACCAAAATGCAAAGTTCATTTACCCTACACCTAAGACTGAAGTATTCATGAAGTATGTATAGAAAATGGTTCAAATTTTCATCAGTCTAAAATTTAATTAAACAAGAAAAACACAAAAATCAAATGCAATCAACCTTAAACTAAGAATCTAATACATCTTGAGTCCAAAAGATAAACGAAAAAATGACAAAAAAGAATTTAATTGTGGCATGTTCATGTCGCCCATTAATAATCAAAAGGTCGTCAAACTTGCCTTTAGAAGTTCATAGATATAGTATCGTATGTCATAGTCTGACAATAAAGGATAAAGTACTTTAAAATCAGTGTTATTGACATATTCAAATATGAGACTTGGGGTCTTCGACTGCTGGTCTCTAACAATGTCAAGCAACTTAACAATATTGGGCCCTCCACAAAGATTCTGCAATATTTTGATTTCTCTCTTGATCTGCATTTAAAATCAGAAGAATAAGCAGAGTTAAATACATAACCAGAGGATGGCAGTGGAAAGTGCCACAATATAGCTGATCTCTATTCACAATAACCAAACGGAGCTAACTACTATTATGTAGCATTGTGGCCACTTGCATGCCATGGACATCCAAAGATACAAAGAAACTAACTCTAAATTTAAAAAGGTTTTTAAATTAATAAAAAAAATAGAAAACAGAAAATTAAATTCCCAGCACAGCACTGCTATATTCATATTAAAATTGCCACAGATTGAAGTGTAACATTGGCATAGAATGATGATGCATAAGCACTGCAGTTTAAGTGTTGAAGCACATCATTAACATAGCCTTATTCCATAAGGTGGGGTCAGTTACAGATTAAATAACACAAGTTATCACCAAGCCATCATGGCGTGATGAAATTAGAGCACACTTCCATTAGACATGTCTGGCTTTGCCCACTGTACATTGTGAAAAATGGCTGTAGCCACTACTGTCATTCCATCACAGCAGTCCATGGCAGGAATAGTACAAGAATGACGTTTGTTATATTTTTGAAAGGGATATATAAAATTCCAAGAGTTTACGACCAATTTCTCACTCAAATTTCACACACAAACGACCTTTGCAAACTTCAATCATCTCTTTTCCCTTGTTATTATGATCTTTGATTCTCCTAGAAAACCACTTGAAGCTATTTGCACCTTTTCTTCTATGTTCTCTCTGGTTCTATTTTTCTGCTATTTCCTATGTTAATTCCTCTTAGTTCTTGCGAAATTAAGACTACAACTCCTAATCTTCTAAGTTCTCTAAACTTTTTTTGTTGTGGTTCAATCGTGGTACTGGTGGATGTATCAGTGTAGTCCATGGCGGATGGCGGTCCATGGTGGAGAGCCAAAATCCCGCCATACCAGCTGCTTTGCAGCGACATTATAGCAGATTATGGCGGAAAAACCCGCAATATCGGCCGATATTTACCATTGCGGCAAGCCCAAAAACCGCCATGTACGACCTTTGCAAACTTCAATCATCTCTTTCCCTTGTTATTATGATCTTTGATTCTCCTAGAAAACCACTTGAAGCTATTTGCACCTTTTCTTCTATGTTCTCTCTGGTTCTACTTTTCTGCTATTTCCTACGTTAATTCCTCTTAGTTCTTGCGAAATTAAGACTACAACTCCTAATCTTCAAAGTTCTCTAAACTTTTTTTGTTGTGGTTCAATCGTGGTACTGGTGGATGTATCAGTGTAGTCCATGGCGGATGGCGGTCCATGGTGGAGAGCCAAAATCCCGCCATACCGGCTGCTTTGCAGCGACATTATAGCAGATTATGGCGGAAAAACCCGCAATATCGGCCGATATTTACCATTGCAGCAAGCCCAAAAACCGCCATGTATATCCGCCATGACGCCGCAATTTGATAACACCGGATGTATGGAATATTCAAGTCTAAATTTGTAAGAACTAATAAGATTTTGAGCTTGACATGCAATCATTGGGATGTGATTGTAAAATCAAAGTGTGTCTATGTAAATTAGTAAATTCATTCTATGGAGAGAAAAAGGCTTTAGCATAAAAGATAGCACAATTGGTCTATGTAAATTATAAGCAAACACTCAAACAAAGATGATGTGTGTAATGTCTGATGTTGAGAAGATAGAAAATGGTGATGATAATGATGTTAGGAATGAGTTAGGTTCAATGAAGAATCCAGACTACTCTAAGTTTGACAGGTACTCATAAGGCTTCAGGAGCTGAAGAGCACCGAATCCATAGAAGGGCAGAACAATTGCAAATGCCAAAATTTCAGAAAAATATAGATGCAAGTAACTTCTAATTATCATAACATCTTTACCTACTGATGTAATGTAACTGATATATAAGCATGTACTTATGCACATTCATTTGTGAGTTATTACACATTACAGACACAACAACCAATCATTTTTTAACCCTAGAAAATAAACCTTCCCCAACACCCGCACATACAAAATACCAAATCAAAGTATATTGAATTATGTAAATGAAACTACAGCTGCAACAACAATATATCCATACACAGTGACCATCTCCAGTTTATTCTGATGTTGCCTAAATCAAACACTAATCATGACCCCAATCCATAAGTCAAAAAAGGTAAAAATCCACATATAACTCACCTTCTTCTTCTTCACAGGTTTGAGGATCTTGATAACACATTTTTCATTATCAGTACAGTGAACCCCTTCAAACACCTCACTGTATTTCCCCCTACCGACCTTCCTCACCACCTCATAATCATCCTGCTCCCTGAAGAAAAAGAAAAAAACACAGGAAATTAAACAAGCGAAAGAGGAATCAACCAAAAACAAAACCCTAGCTAGAACTCCATTCGCCAAACATATACAACATATCAACAGAAATTTAAAGAAATCGAAAAATAAAAGAGGTAAAAGAAAAAGAAAAAAAAAACAGATTATTAATTTATTGTTACCCCCACTGAACGGTGAGGGTTTCGTAGTCCCAATATTCCTTAGGGCGAACGACGTTGATATCGGCATAAACCCTAGCCTTGGAGGAAGCGCCGGGGCGGCGAGTGGATTTTCCGAATTTCTGCGCCATGTCGTCGGGAGGAGGAGGCCGCAGACGGCGGCGATGGTCTTGAGGCGGCGACGGAGTTGCTGCGGACACAGCTAGGCGGCGGAGGAAGAAAGAAGAGGGAAAAGAGATAAAAGATTGAGGGGATTTATTATTACGAAAGAAGGAATGAGATTGAGATGTCCGAAACAGAAAGACCAATCTATCGCGCGAGAAGTTGAATTGGAATTGTCTTACGGCCATTAAATTGAAAATGGAAGAAGGAAAAATAATCCTATATATATTAATAATTAAATATTGCAAGGAAAATAATTGAGAATTTCTTAATGTATATGTTTTAAAATTTAATTGGTATGTGATGATATAAAAAATTTTTATACGGTCAACTAATCATGATCATGTATTCCGTCACATCACATTGTAAATTTTAAGTTATTGGTATGATACGACAAATTCATGAATTTTTATTAGATGATAGTGTAAAATTATTTTACACGGTTAGTGCATACAATTAAATTTTATGTTTTATTAGATCATCACGTGAAAAATATAAAAAAGAATTTAATTGATATGTACTGACAGTGTAAAGATTTTTTACATTGTCAGTTAACCACGACGGCTAATTTATGTAAAATATTTGACTTTTATTTTAACCACTTGAAGAGTAATATCAACAAATGGTTGTGATGCATTGACAAGTGTAAAAATTTTTACACTGGCAGTTCATAACAATTAATCTCATATAAAAATGCTTCTAAAGTTTGGAGATATATCTTCGGATATATCCTAAATCAATAGAAGTTTGATTTAATGTGAAAAAATTACATAAATGTTTTTCGTAAACATTACGGAGATGCATTTTCATATTTGGGGTATCATTTTTTAAAATAGGTATTGATAGAGATATCATTTTTTATTATTCTAAGGTGACAGGGGTCTTAGATGTCATTATAACAGAGGCGCCAATGTATTAGAGACAACGTCGTCGTACGGGGGCAGAGGAGCTCATGGAGCTAGAGTCCAGCATACACAGTAGTTAATAGTATTTGTAGTTTGGATTTATGTTCAGTTGTATTTTATTTTTACTTATTTCGACTTTATATTGTATATCATGATGATTTATTTAGACTCTGAATTTATATATGTCATTTTTGCATATCAGTTGTATGGTTTAATGTTCATCATATAACAGAGACCTTAACATTTATAAATTGTCATGTTTCATCTGAGTAACCATATAACTAACTTAACTTGCATTGTTTTGACTGGTTACGGAGATTCATCTCCGTAAACCCTAAACGGAAATGCATATTTGAATCAATAAATGTTTAAAATGAGTCTTTCAAAACAATACTGTGAACAACACAACAAAATCTAAACCTAAACCATATTGAAAAACTGAACCATATTCATAACAATAATACAACTTTAATTCTTAACCATATGGATATTCATTGTAGCAAAGTTATAATATTTTTGTTCACTGTTAAATCTAATAATAAAACATAAAGCATATGAACTTTGCACGAAACAGACCACAAAATTGAACAAGAATAAAGATAGTGAATATTATCAAGAATTAGGAGGATGAGGAAGAGAGTGAAGTTTGCACGAAACATATCGTACTTCGAAGAGGAAGAGACCAAGAATGAAGATAGTGAAAACTATCAAGAATGAAGATTGTGAAGATGAATATTTCGTTATCGCTATCGTTGTCATCTCTGGTTTGCTGGTTCACTAGTTCGCTTAGGGTTATAAAGGAAATAATGAATCTGTTTTGTTTTAAATTTAACAGGAAAACCTTTTACCACAATTGTTATATTCAACCGCAGTGAAATGTAGATCTTATTACAACGATTGTATAGTAAAATTGTGGTTAAATAGTTTTCAATTTATTTATTTATTTATGAACTTAAGTGACACGCACTTTTTGTAATAGGAAAAATGGAAAAAATGTAGTTGTTAGGATTTGAAGCTTGTAACACTTACTTTGTCACCACAGTTGTTTACCTCAATCGTGATTAAATAACTTTATAAAAAATATATCAGGCGCATCCAGTTTGCGATATTACAATGGTGGAAAGCCTAATTGTAGTAATATTAGTGTTAACGAAGGTGTATTTTGTAGTAGTGTAAGGTTCGGTTACTAATATTACTACGCTGCATCCTAACTCACTCAAAGTCTTGATGATTTAAGAGATGGTTACTAAACAACAAATTTTTAAACAACTTTCTATTATGTAATTGGTTATTTCTCAGTTTTTTTACTTACTCTCTATCTCTCACACACTCTCTTCTCCCCCTTATTGTTTGTTTTCTTAATAGCAACTACAGTGTGTTAAACCAATGGTTTTACAACCTCACTTCTCGGGCTTACGACCTGGACTACACACTATCAGCAGGTACCCTCAAAGAAAATCAAAGTTCAGGGTTATGGTTGAAAATAAACAGTAAAATAACTCTTTTTTTATTATAGAAAAATTGATTAAAAAGTAAGTAATTACCTCATCATCATTTGGCTCTGATACCAGACAGTAAGGAGTATAATAATAGTGAAGATAATTATTAAAATAGATTGAATAATCAGAGTTAAGATAAATGCGAAAGTAAATATGAAAGTATTTAAAGACATGATTTTATTAAAAAATACTTACAAGAGTTGCTTACAAAAGTTGATCGCAGGCTCAGGGTTTCTAAATTGAGTCTCTCAATTTTCGAATGTCATTCACTACAAATTATATTCTCTTATATAGAGAAGAAAAGCAGACAAACTTCAAATAAAATTAAAATCACCCTAAAACTATACAAACAAGTGACCGACAAGGCCTAATAATGAAAGAAATAATTTAAAGATAATATGACCCACATGGCCTTTAATTATTACAACATGCCAAAAAAAAGTAGCACACCAACATGAGCTGATAAAGATGAATCTTATCTTCAGAAAAGTAATGTGATCTTATCTTCAAACATAATCCTTATTGTTATACCCCAAATTTGTTCGAACATTTTAATTTTTTTTATTGCGTTTAAATTCATCTGCGTATCATTTCATTTGGTCGTGGAGTCCCATAAACATTCATAAATCAAAAGTCAACATAAAGTCAACATTTGCATGTGTTAAGAAATTTGACTAAAATTTCATACGTCACGGTTCATTTTTACAATAATCATTTAAATCATCATCACATTATTTTAGTTGCAGTTTCTTGATCATTATCACACATCATAGTAAAAAGTAAAAAAAAAAAATCAACATTGCACATGTTGAGAAAATTGGCTAAATTTGCATGTTTCTTTATTCATTTTGGAGAAACAAATTTATGACCATTTAATTCATCATCATAATTTTTATTTCACAATTTATTAATTATTTTCATGCATCATAAATCAAAAGAATAGACTATCATAGATGACATCAACGACATTGTTCGAAAAATTGCAAGAACATGAATTGGATCTTAAACGATTGGGAAAACATAAAGGTCATGAACATAAAGAGAGATATCTTGCCTTAAAAACTAGAGTCAATGATTATGATAGTGATCATGAAGAAGAATTTACATTGGATAGTGAAGAAGATGATGAAGATATAGAAGTACTTGTCAAGAAGTTTGAAAAATTCTTAAAAGAGACAAAATAATGAAAATTGGTCAAAGAAAGAAGTTTAATGAAGAATAAACTCCAAGACAAAAAGGTCACTTGCTTTGAATGTGGAAAACAAGGACATAGTAAAAGTAATTATCCTTTTTCTCTAAAAGAAGAATATATTCAACAACAAAAAGGATAAAAAGTTAAGAAGAGTATACATCGCCTAGAAAGACAATGATATGAGTACAAGTTCAGAAAATGAAGAACAACATGTATCTTTCATGGCTTCACATCACTCTGATGATGATAATATGGTTATCAATTTTTACATAACTAATAAAACTTATTATGATGAACTACACGATGCATGACTTGCACGATGAATGTTTAAAGATTTCTAGATAATGTGCTAAGCAAACGAAAATAACTTTATCTTTAGAAAACAAATCTAAATGCATGCAAACATTCAATGAAGTTGTTTAACATGCAATAATTGTGCATCTCTTGAATCAAAATCGTTGATATAAATCAAGTTATATTCAATTATGAAAAAGAAAAAAATGAATTGGACATTTTGCAAAGTAATCAAATATATGGTAAAGATAAAAGTGGATTAGGATATTCTAAATTTGAAAATTCTAGTCCAATCAGAAAGACTATATTTGTCAAATCTAGCAATGTTTGTAACAATGTTCAATCAAGAAAAGTACGTCATAATGTACAACCTAAAAAGGCATATAGCAAGAAATATTTTTATGATCGTAAAATGAAAATGCCTAACATGACACATACTTATACTTATTTTCATTGCATTTGTAAAGGTCATACCACTAATGCATGTTATACTCGAAAGATTGGTATACCTAATGGTAATTATGCATGAGTTGAGAAAGAACATAACCCAAAAAGACCCAAAGAATTATATAGAGTCATAATCTTAGGATTTATTTTGATTAAAATTCTAAACGTTCAAACTAACCAAACCACAAGAAGTTCATTCATTTTTAGCTAATCGAACAAAAAATATAAAATCGATAAGCATACTAGTCATAGTAGAACGATAACTTTGTTGTGAGATATAGAGCGTGTACTTGCGGCATATCATGTAACTAACACTAACATTCCGTCAAATAATCAAAGTTAAATCTCACTTCAATAAACATTTTTATAACATTTAAATATAATTAATTCAATACTTAATTCGTAATTAATAATTTAATTAAAATCTATTTGTTGAAATTGAAATTATACCACTCAATAAATTTTTGAATGTTTGAATTAGTGGTATGTATGAAATGGTAAATAATGTAATTCTATTATTTGTATATGCAAATAAATGATGACGTGGGTGATCGCGACTTTCTATGTCTAATACAACTAACTGCAAGTGCACAGTCTATCGCGTAGTAATAAAAGATATCGATCCCACAGAGACTCGTAATCAAACTAGTGTTCTCGGGAGTTACTATGTTTAGCTAGGTAGAATATGTTTTAAGGGAATAAGGTTGTCACTAAAAGGGGGAAACTAAGATTACTGTTTAGATTTTAATTAATTGAATCGATACGTAGTAATTATGTTCTTCAGGGACTTGATAAGTTACTGGTGTATGAAATAGTTTTCACAGTTTATTTAAGCAGAAAATGGAGATTTG